AGACGCTTGATGCAATCGGTTGCTGCCAAGAGAGTCCGGGTTCAAGTAGTATCAGACGGAGCTAGGGCTGGGACTATCCGCATACACGAATAAAATCCGGAGAGTATGGATATCCGGTTAAAATGCTACAATTTGGTAAAGCATTCACCACGACCAAAATTATCGTAACAGCTTTCATTATTCNACTGCAAAGACGCTTGATGCAATCGGTTGCTGCCAAGAGAGTCCGGGTTCAAGTAGTATCAGACGGAGCTAGGGCTGGGACTATCCGCATACACGAATAAAATCCGGAGAGTATGGATATCCGGTTAAAATGCTACAATTTGGTAAAGCATTCACCACGACCAAAATTATCGTAACAGCTTTCATTATTCCGTCCATGATACTTTGCAGCCATGAAAAAACTCTCGCGGTCAATTTTATATATTTTTTTATTTTTACGAAACGATACATTGATTTCCCAATATCAGGCGCTCATGCATATGAAGTAGCAAGTTTTCTATACGCATAAATTTGTTTGTTGAACTTTTTAATTCGAAAAGAAGCCTTTGAAATGCCTAAGTAGAATTTTGGAAATTTAAAAATTTATACAAACAATTTTGTGCGTAGCCAGGGTACGAAAATAAACTGTACAAAACAATTCCCATTTGCTCATCGATCATCATATCACTTGTGGTTTTGTACAGTTTTGTAAATAGTCAGAAACAAATTGTAAGATTCACTGTCATTTTCCCCAACGAGAAACGTTTGCTTTTCGTTAGTGACAATTGTACCATAGGGTACGTTTTATATGTATGCGAACGTTTCAATTACGTGAAAAATAATTTTTTCTGTAAATTTTCATATCCAATTCAATTAAAAAACATTTTTATTTTTTTTGTTCATTGCAGCCATTCGTTTTGTATTTGTTTATTGCATATATGTACATACATAAAAATATTTTCCCTGCACGATTCATTTCGTTTGTTGTTTCGTCTGTAACTACTAAACTACGGTAGTGTACTATCGCCAAAGTGAACTCAGCCGTTTTGTTTCGTATTGTACCGAACTGTTAAAGTAATAAACGAAACGAAATAGTAACGTACAATATAGTTTATTTTCGTACACTGTGCGTAGCAGTAGAAAACTTGTTACTACACATTTATGAGCGCCAGGTATTGGGAAATGAAAATATCGTTTTGATAACGAAAAATCCGGATATTCGGATAGCCGAATATTTTCTCAGCTTCCAGAGTAACCGGATTTTTCATTTAGGTATCCGGATTTTGAATATTTGGTTTATCCGGATAGTTGAAAAATCCGGGTGAATTTCCCAGCCCTAGACGGAGCACAAAATTAATTATTTTTTCTTCTTAATTATAATTTCGAATAGCAAAAAACCATCTGTGCACTTCACAACGACATATTTTATAACGTACACACACAAATTTAAAACGAGTTGGGTTGGTGCTCTTTCATATGCGTATTTTTTTAAATTAGCACGTTTTTTTAATTCTAAAGTTTTTTTCCCTCAGTGTATGTATGTCCATGCTTAGGGCAGCTCTCTCTCCCCCCACAGGTTCTCAACAGGATGCTGGAGTAACCAGGTGAGTGATACACATACCTTCATATATATATGTCTACAAGGTATTACCTACTCACCAATAATTACATGCATAGTTGTTATCGCGCTTATTGTTCACTAATTTCGGCAAAACGAGAGCACCAAATAAAGAATAGGAAAACCGGTTTGCCTAGCTACTTAACTATTGTAAAATTCTTTTGGTTTAAGTTTTGCTTTTGAAAACGCGTCAGGTGGTCTAAAGAACTTCGCAAATCGAATAAAACACGTCTGGCTTCTTCTTAAGTTCGCAAGATTGTGCCGTTTTATTTCTAAGATGGAGTACTTTTCGATATCTTTTTACAAAACGATAACATTGCTTAAGGTCTAGACAGAATACAGTCTATCGCTTATGGGCTAGTTAAACTACTTTATCAATGTTTATCCTATTATTACACTTGCGAGCTACTTTCACAATGCCTACTTGCTTAAATCTACGTTTACATTACTTTTATCTGCACTTATATTGGTAGTAACTACGCTTACAACTCGACCATCATGACGACTAGAATCCCCTGATTCTACGCCGTGTGCTCCTAAATTATTATTATTTTGATTGGTCATACTTCTTGTCGTTTTACATTCGAACCACGGTTTTAAGTTTGTAATTGGCCAGGTACCCTTGTATAGTATTTGGGTTTGTTGGAAACCCTCTATGTCGTCTATCAAGTAACGATAATTTTCTGAGATTTTGGCCACTCTGTACGGTCCTTTAAATTTTGGTACTAACTTACTTGACACTCCTATTTGAGAGCTGGAGTTTGTTACCACGACGTAATCTCCTACCTTGAATTTACGTGGGGGCAACCGCTTATTACCCGCATATTCCTTATCGTAACTTTGCGCTTTCTATTGTACTGTTTCGGCCTGCCTCCTGATATCTTGAACTGGTCTAGCGTCATGTACCTGTATTGAACCTAAAACATTTTCTTCGAGCGTGTCTATTATTTTCCCTTTTTGCGAAACCCCAAACAACATTATGCTGGGATGTTCGTTGATTGCTTTGTGATTTTTGTTCATTGCATATTCCACAGATTCTAACACGTTGTTCTAACAAGTAGTAGTTTTTGAGTCTACTGCCTTCGCTAACATTGGACCTAGGCTTTTATTGACGATTTCTACTTGTCCGTTTGCTTGGGGAGAATTTGTTGCCACCTTAATGTGTTGAACGTTATTTACTTTTAGGAACTCCTCGAACTCGTTGGACGTAAAACAGGTACCCCTCTCAGATGCAAGGTAACTAGGTCTGCTGTATGCTCGAAAGTAATCCTTCAGGGACTCTAAAGCTTGTTTAGACGCTGTTGTCTTTGCTGGATACAGCCTAACAAATTTTTTGCACGCGTCTATTATTACTAGTAGATGCTTATACTTTGTATTAGTACTATGGATTGGTCCATAGTGATCAATATGAACCATCTGGAAAGGTTTATTTCCCTTAGGGATCATGTTAAGAAATCCTTCCTTTTTCCCGTATTTCGCGGAGAACGCGATGCACTTTATGCAATTTTTAATGTTAGGGAACCAGTAACTTCTACTTATTATTTCTATCAGTTTGTCAACGCCTATGTGTCCCAGCTCGTCGTGATATTTGTATAGAACGTGTTCTTCCATTGAGTCTGGTACGTAAAAAAATAAGTTTCCGTCTGATATTCTTTATGTTTTCATCTCTGTTTTGGCATATAATCAAAGTTTCCTCAAGCGTATTTGTATGAACCGTTAAAACGTTATTCAACCTACTGAGTGCGTCTACGTGTTGCATCCTTTTCCCCGACCTATGTTCTAGGACATAATCGCAATTCTGTAGTTCGAATACCCACCTAGCGATTCTAGGATTATTATCCTTTTTGTTAAGCGTTAACGTCAAAGAGTTACAATCTGTTACAATTTTGAATTTCATGCCCTGTAAATATACTCTAAATCTTTTTAGCGCTTAGCGTTTCTCAGCCCGAACGGCATTCGTAGGAATTCAAACTGTCCTAAAGGAGTGGTAAACGCTGTATATTTTACTGATTCTTGTTCAACAAAGACATGAAAAAACCCATTCTTGAGATCTAATTTAGTAAACTATTTCTTGTTAACTAACCTGTCTAACAAGTCATCTATTAGTGGTATAGGGTAACTATCCTTTGCTGTAATTTTATTAAGCTTCATATAATCGATGCACATCCGTAGCTCGCCTGTTTTATTTTTTACTAACACAATCGGCGAAACGAATTCCGTGCTACTAGGGCGTATGTATCACTTTTTCAAATATTCATCTAATATTTTTTGTAACTCTGACTTTTCACTATACATCAATCTTCTAGGAGCGCAACTGAATGGTTTATTGTTTTCTAAGTGCAGTTGTATTTCTTTCTTAACTTCGGGCTCTTCAGGTTTTTCGACATTTAAATATTCCTTGTAAAAGATCTTTTGAAAAAGTTGTTTGTTGTCGTGACTAACTTTACTACCAATCACCAAATCTATTTCGTTCACATCTTGCATATCTATTGCCAACATTTCGTTTGAAAACTTCACGCAAATTTAGCAGCTAAGACTGCCAAGCTTCAAAGTTTCCGGTGCCTTCGAAGTCAGTTAGTAACTGTTTCACGGTTCCGAAGGGCATTCCGGCAGTATTCGTAGCGCATGTATCTGTTTTTTTCTCTTTTTTGGGTGCTAATTTTAATTTCAAGACCTCAACTTCCTTTTCGAGCAACAGTATTTTGATCTCAGACTCATCGTTTTGGTTACTTGCCGAAACGCACACTGGGGCACTTTCACAACGTTGGAACTCGACATCTTTTTCGCATACCTGTCTGCCAAAACTACCACTGCCAATACGTAGCAAGTCATCACCATCGACATATTCCGCACCATTGTACTCGCCGTTGTCCGCAACATTTTCCGCTCCGCTGTTGTCGCCATTCGCACTGTAGTCCGCTGCGTTGTTTTTACCGCTATTCTGTGCCCCGTTCGAACCGTTGTCTTCGACGTTCATTCCGTTGTCATTGTTGCCACTTTCACTGCTGTCTTCGTCATTTTCACCGCTGGTTGTTGGTGTAATAAAGCTTCTCCCTGAAGCGCCGCTCCTACCGGGAGCACCCTCTGCTGGGCACGATCCATGAGCCTCCGCCGATAGCTCGCTAAGCCTTTCGGCGAGAGAGGCTTTCGCACCACTAGCATTTAGCCCTACGGCAGTGCACCAAGCTTTTAGCTGGAGCAGCGAATACTTTTCCGCACTAATGTTTTCCTTTTCCATTATTAATTTTTTACTTCAATTTGATTACTTATTTACTGGTATGGTTTCGCGGACCACTTCTGATGAAAACGCGTCAGGTGGTGTTTAATATAGCGTCGCTATATTAAAGGGAGATTTAAGTCGGAACGAAGACAAAAGAGTCGGATTGGTTTTAGATAAAATATTTAATGAATTCAAAATACAGAGGTACAAATGTACTAAATATTATAAGTAAATCGAGTTGATTATAAAAGTGGAGTAGACTCAAAGGCACGTCTGTGCTGTAAGACGGTCGCGCTTATATATTCTTGTAGCTTTTTACATTTCAATTTCAGTTCACAATTCAATAGTTAATTCAGCGAGTTTATACAAGATCAACTTTTTTTGGAGGATTTTTGTTTAGAGGAATCTTAGAAACTAGTCGAATAAAATGAGGTTGCCACCTCGCTCTCCTTCATCGTCGACATGCCGCTGCCCTTGCACGGGTGCAACATTTAGTAGGCTGTCTAGCTGCTGCAGCGATGTGAATGCCGTGGTGACCAGGCGATTCAACTCGATACGCGAAACGGCATTGGGTTTCCTTGATAACGAAACTTCGACATCTTCATTGCCGTAGAGCGACATTCTGTCTCGCGTTTCGATCTGCGTCCCACAGCATGTTGAGCTGGTTTGCGTTCCCCAGTGAAATTGGTAGTTGGGCGGTGAAGAAGCGTGTGATGACCCAATTTACATATTCTCCAGCTATTCTGAGATGGGTTCATGCAATATTTATAAAAGCGGACAGCTTCTATGCGATCGGCCACGCTCATCTCTCGAAAACATGCGCAGGTTTGCAGAGCGTGAAAACGGCAGCACAGTTGACACTGATATACATCCGGGGTTCTGTAAAAGATCAATAAGTGAATTAGTACGAGTTGGTAGAGTTGGAGCTAATTGACTGTAATTAGAAACTAAGAGGGTTATATGTATTTGAGCTGATTGGACTATATGGTAGGCGAGTTATTCAATTAGAGTTATGAGTGAGTGGAGGAGGTAGAGGGCATAATTTGACTATTGGTCGGGTATAAACCCCAGCTTGAGTTCTGACCTTAGCGACTCTAACGTGATTATAGGGGCCTCGATGGAGTTTGAGTACTCTTCCAAGGCACCATTTCGGGGTGGCAAGAGATCATCTTTGATAACTACCAACTCTCCTTCCGCAATATCCTTCTGGGGTTGTTGCCATTTATGACGTCTGTGAAGCTCGCGTAGATATTCCGCTTTCCATCGTCTACTGAATTCCTGATGGAGAATTTTTAATTTTTGCCAGCGATTGGCCAGGGATTGGGTTTCTGCAGTTTGCTCCGGGATAGACATTAGGGGTGCTCCTCGGAGAAAGAGAGCCGGAGTGAGCACTAGGAGATCCGTGGTATCTTCGGACATGGGTGATAATGGCCTTGAGTTCATAGCTGCCTCTATGCGTATAAGAAGCGTTGAGAATTCTTCGAAAATGAATTTTTGGGTACAGCAACTTTTATGAAGTGGGTTTTGAAACTTTTAACGGCAGATTCCCACAGGCCGCCCATATGTGGAGCGTATGGAGGAATAAACTGCCATTCAAACCCATGAGTTTCGTATTTTTTAGAGGTACGACAGACACCTGGGTAAGAAAACTTGCATAGTCTTTGAAGAATGTGCGATGAGCTCCGATAAAGGTTTTTCCATTATCGGACATAACTTTCGCGGGTATTCCTCGTTGCCCTACGAAGCGTGCAAATGCTGTTAAAATGACCTTGTGGTTAAGTCTGAACAGACTTCTAAGTGAATTGCTTTTGTCGCAATACAAACAAACACACAAGTGTAAGCTTTATGATAGGGTGCGTTACGGGTTAAACCGGCTTTTAACAAAAAAGGGCCTGCGAAATCTACACCGGTAGTGTGGAATGGTACCGACAACGTAACTCTTTCGGGAGGATGGGCTGCCATTATTTGAGAACGAACGTTTTGCTTATGAATAGTGCAGGGTTTGCATTGAGCTATACACTTATTTATGTACGATTTCAAACGTGGGACAAAGAAGTCTTGCTGAGTCATACGAACCATAAGAGATTTCTCCGCATGCAAGAGAGTTGTGTGGAGAAAATTTAAATAAAGAGTACAAAATCTGGAGTTTCCGGGCAGTATGATGGGATGACGCTCATTGTTTTGTCAATAAATGGGTTTAGAGATAATAACCTACTTTTCTTGTTGAGGGATTGAGTGACAGATAATTGTAAATATTCATCGGAATAGTAACGTTTTTGGGCAACAATAATTAGTTGGGTTTTCGAGTATTGGATTTCCGGGTGGGTTAAGGAATCCATGTTTTGGGAGATCTTTCGAGATTTTCGGATAAAGCGAAACACGTAGGCTACGATGCGCAAGGCTTTTTCAAACGAGGAAAATTGGCGTAGTACTTCTTCGGTCTTGCTTAAATGAAAAACTTTAATTTTTCTTTGCTCTGGGGGGTTGAGTCCTTTGGGGTTGGGATTGGGGCCAAGCGTTTGGAGTTTCGATAAGCCAGCCTGGTCCATGCCACCATATGGCTTTGGAGATAAGCTCTTGAGGAGGGCATCCTCGGGTTCCTAGATCTGTAAGGTTGTCAGCACTGCTTACATGTCGCCCCGTAGCATTTTCTACGTTTTTTAAGATTTGGGTTATGCGATTGGCGACGTAGGGTTTCCACACATAAGGGGATTTCTCTAACCATGCGAGAACAATAGATGAATCGCACCATAGAAATAGTTTAACATCTTTTAGGTGGAGTTTTTCCTGAACTTGGTGAGCGAGTTTGCTGACGAGGACAGCTCCACAGAGTTCCAACCGTGGTAAGCTGATAGTTTGAACTGGGGCTACTTTGCTTTTTGCCACGAGAAGTTGAGAAGTGGCTGGGTTGATACCGTTGTGGCAGCGAAGTTACAAACAGGCACAATATGCGTCTTGAGACACGTCACAAAATCCATGGAGCTCGACATTATATTTAGGTGAGTATCCTATCAATCGAGGGATTTCGAGTTTTCCTACCGATTGTAGATTTACGACAAACGTACGCCAAGCATGAAGCGAGGTGGGTTTTGCGCACTCGTCCCAATCGGTACCTTCTTCCCAAAGGTCTTGCGAGAGAATTTTTGCTTTAACCATTACAGGCGATAGCCATCCGGCCGGGTCATAAAGTTTAGCAAAAGCAGACGTTTTGTGGCTGGGTATGGAGTTGCGAGAGGGTTAAATGTGTACGAAAATGAGTCCGATACAGCGTTTCACTGTATTCCCGGGGTTTTTGTTGTGCTAAAGTCTTCGAGTTTTAAAAAATTTGAGTCTAAAAGATTGTTTTGGGGTATATTTTCTATTGTTTTTGAGTTGTTAGCCGTGATTTTTTTTAGAGGGAAGCCAGCTGAACCTAAAACTTGAGTGGGTTGGGTGAGTGAGTTTCGGGCTGTTTCAAGGTCATTTCCTCCAGAAAAAACATCATCACCATATGTTTCTTCGTTAAGGATTCTCGTACAACATGGGTATTCTAATGCAGGGTCACCAGCTAGCTGGTGAAGTGTTCTGATAGCTAAAAATGGGGCACAGTTTACGCCAAAGGTGACTGTTTTGAGTTTGTAATCTTTTATTGGGTTTTCCGGGCCCTTTCTAAAGACGATTCGTTGAGTTTGGAGAGTGCGACCGGTGTGGCTGAGCTGGTAGCTTTGGAGGCATTGAAGACTACCCGTACTTTAGCGGTTTTACTTTCGGCTCGCAAAACGGCATGATGTGGGAGATAAAATGAGTAATATTTTCCACCTTCAATGATTTCATGAGAAGTAGTTGTCTCCATGTGATTTAGGGTTATGTACTCTTCAAGCACTTCAGAATATGTGTCCCTGATGTTTTCTTTTTTAGCGAGATTGCGCTCCATACTGAGAAATTGGTATAAACTTGAGTATCGGGAATGTCCTAGTGCCATGTATTCGGGGAATTGCGTTTTAAATGGTAGCCGAACTTCATAGCGGCCATCTGCTCTCCTAATTGTGGTGTTTCTAGTAATTTCTCGCATATTTCATCTTCTTCCGAGAGTTGAGGCGGGTCCGAGATGTCTTCCTGTTCCCAGAACTTCTTTAAAAGATCGCCGAGGCAGTCTTGTTTGCTTTCTTCGACTCGTGTTGAAAATGATGTGACTTGGGCTTGAACTGGGCCGCTCAAAATCCATCCAAAGATGGTGTTTCGTGCTAACAATCCTCCACTCATATTTTGTAAGCCTGGTACAAATATTTTCGGTGTAAGATCACTACCAATCACCAGATCTATTTTGCCTGGAGTAAACCAGGTGGGATCGGCGAGATCTAAGGAAGCAAACTGGGTGATATCTATGCTCTTCAATCTGAATGCCGGAAGAAACTGAGTGAGCTGGGGCAAAACTGTAGGATTTGTCTCAATTGTGATTTGGGCGTCCGTTGAACATATCCTTATCAAACAAGTTTGATGTGAGTTTTGCACGATTTTCCCCCCATTTCAGATTTCTCATAGTGGGATCTTTGTGTGGGGAGTTTTAACAGATTTTTTGCTATTGAGGAGATGAAGGTTTTCTCTGAGCCAGGGTCAATTAGAGCTCGCAATCTATAAATTTCTCCTAAATGTAAAATGGGCACAATAGCAGTTGGGAGTAACGTTTTTTCCTTACTACTGGAGTGGTGAGCTTGAACGGATTCTTGCTCTTCCTGAGTATGCTCAACATTTTGCATTAGTAGTCATTGGGGATGCGGAGATAGATTTGTAGACCTAGCTGTTGTTGTGTGAACTGCCGACTTTTGGGATCTCGAGTTTGAGCTGCAGTTCGGATTCGAGTTGGAGCTTTGTGTTTGAGAGTTATTTATATGTAACATCGAGTAATGTCGTCTTTGGCAGTAAACACAACTGAAGCTACTTCTACATTCTCTTGAATTGTGAGGAAAAGCCTGACAGTTTTTACAGTAGTTGTTCTCTTTGATAAAGGACAATCGTTCTTGAACTGTTATTGTTCTGAATTTCGAACATGTTTTAAGTGGGTGCGCTGGGACCGCTTTACGCAACTTGCAGGAATTAACAAATCTTTGCTCATTGTGGTATACGCGTGTTTTTGTAGAGTTTTGGTTTGAGTTGAGGGCTTGAGACTTGGTTGAGTTTAAACTTGGCTGGAAACTTTGAAAACTTGGCTTATAAGTGGAATTTTGATTTGGGTTTTGACTTATCTTCGATTTTGCTGGCCTATGAGCACTTAACCTCTCTAAGACTTCGTATCGAGTGGTGAGGAATGAGTTCATTTCAGACCAGAGGGGAAGATCTTTTCTCGATGATAGAGATTGCTCCCAAAGAGCTAAGGTTTCTTCTGGCAGTTTTGAGGTGCATATATGCACTATGATTGGGTCCCAACTCGATACGGAAACATTTTGAGCTTTTAATATGGAGGGGCAATTGTTGATGCTGTTTTGCAGTTTTTGTAGAGAGGCGCTGTTTTCACCATGAACTGGCTGAAGATTGAAGAGTGTCTTGAGTTGGTTGCCAGCCAAAATTCTACGGTTCTCGTATCGCAATCTTATGGCTTCCCATGCGAGATCGAAGCTTTCGTCACAGAGCGCGTATTGCCTTACTATTGTTCCTGCTTGGCCCTTTGCTTTGTGCCTTAAATGGTATAGTTTTTGTGCCGGGGTGAGTCTGGGGTGTTTTATGTACACAACTGTGAACATGTCTCTGAAGCCTGGCCACTCTTCATATCCACCAAAAAAGTCTTGGGTGTCACATGGCGGCACTTGAAGGTAAACGCCCGACGACTCTGCTTTATTTTCTGAGGGGATCGGGTTTGGCGGTTTTGAGCTGAGAGGTTGGGGTCTTAAAACTTCTAATGCGTCTGTCATCTCCGCTTTACAATTTTGGTAGCTTTGCATACATTTATCGTATTTCTGCTCTACCACTTCGCTTATATTTGTGTAGGAATCGGAGGTGCTCACAGATTGGTATGTTTCGTATACAATTTCCCAATTTTGATCGAGCTGGGACAATTTAACTTTGATAAGGGATTCAGTTAGATCCGAAAGTATGGAGGACGACCCTTTTGACCTAGAGCTATCTCGCTTTTTAGCCTCGGATGCCTGCTTTGGTACTGTATCGAGTTGATCCTTATTTTCAGGCATCTTTAAACGAGCTGACGTAGTTGAGTGCAGAGTTTCGAAAATTTGTTTTTTGTTTTTTGAGTTAACGGGTAGTTGGTAGTTTATAATACAAGAGAAAGGAGTAAGTGTTGGAACAAAGAGTTGTGAGAATTTTAGGTTTAATTTGGGTTTAAGGATGATTGAGAAGAGGAGTATATATAGAAATATGTATGTATATATATGTATACTATTTTATTTGTATTTTTATTTTAATTTTATTTTTTTTTTTTTTTTCATTAATTATTATTATTACTGTTTTTTTTTTGGAATGGACTATCTACCTTAATGTGCCTTGCTTATTAATTTACATGCATCTGTGTACTCAGGTATAAATGTGTATAGAAATGTACATATGTACATATGATTATGATGCAATAACCTTTGATTATACGATGACTTGGTATGTGCGAATGTGCCCGAAATATTTTGGAAAGCAATTTTAATCTTTCATTTAATACTATTTAAAAATTTTATTTCTGATTTATTATTATTAATTTTTTATTTTTTATTTAATTTTATTTTTTTGTTTTTGTTTTATTTTTTTTTTTTTTTTTGGAGAAAAGTACTACCCTAATGTTTTGCTAAAATTTTTCTTAACCCTTTACGGCGCAAGTTCTTTATTTTTTGAAAAACCTGTTTCAAACGATTTATATACTATTCATAGAAAGGAAATGATAACAAAAATTTAATTTGATTTTTTTTTAATATTTTATTCAATAAAATGAATGATGCAAATATGCAACATTGCGCTTTGTTTCAGAAAATTCAATGAATATGAAATTGCTTGAAGCAATTTTTACTTTTGTTATAGCATTAGCCGACGCCACATTTTTCGCAAATTGTTTGCGTGTATCCTTGCAGTTTGGTATCTTGCACCTTACTTTTTTTTCTGCCCAAGCAGGCCAATGTCCTAGCTGATCTTGCCGAACATCTTTCGGCGGAATGCATTGACAAGGGCCTTTTTTCTTTTTTTCTTCTATCTGGCTTTGTAGGGTACTTTTCCTTTTTAGCGTTCCCCGTTTAGTTCCAAAATTGCATAAAGTTTCAGCAATGTCCACCCCGAAATTTTCCGATGTTTGCTCCGTCCCTTCTTCTCCATAAGTTTTTTTGTATGCGCCGATATAACAGCCAAGAGTTCGACATTGTCAAATCTAGCAAATGATAAAATATCCGAATATACAACCTCTTGGATCGTAATTTTATTTTGTTTTGACCCATTATACTGTCCGATAAGTCGACACCTCCCATATGACGGTTATATTCCTCAATCACAAAGGGTCTTTCAATTGTAACAAAGTTTTTCTGGGATTTATCATATCTACGCACCGAAGATACGGGAGCTTTTCCCGCGAAGTTGGATGCTAATGTGACCACTTTGTTGTCTCTCCATGAAATAACGGAGATGTCTGTTCCATTGATGTCACCCACCTGTTCGATAGATGTCCCGAGGGACTCTTTCTTGAAAATCTTATCCTCCGGTAACTTGCAATTGGGTATGCGATTTCTTCTAATGGTTCCCAAGCTCAGTATTCCTCGTTTTTCCAAGTATTCAATCAAAGGCAAAGACGTGTAGTAATTATCGAAGAAAATGCGGTAGTTCTCATTGGAAGGCACATGTCTTGAAAGTCGAACAACCACATTGGCAGACGCACCTAGGTTGGATTCATCGTCAGCGACAATATTTTCTTGGCCACTGTATACCTCAAATTTGTGGGCAAAGCCACTCACACCAGACATGACGAACAACTTATAGCCCCACTTATGTGGTTTATCGGGAAGGTACTGCTTCAGGTGGCGACGTGCTTTTGTAGAACACATTTGCTCGTCAATTGATAACTGCGCCTCTAACGGAACTTTTCCAAAACTTGAGTTCAGCATGTCTAACAGTGAATAATCGGTCAAAATCAAGGTGATCCTTATTTAACATCTTGCTGTTTTCGTTCAGGTGTAACATTTGGCGCATTCGTTCAAATCTTTTTTGAGACATAGTCTCTTTTATAGAAGCGCAACCGATCTTATCTGACCAATACATACGCGCATTCGGCATTTCTACGATGGACATGTAGTAGAGAATACCAATAAATTGCCTTATTTCGATACCTGTAGCGTTTAAGGGCTTATTTAAATTTTTTTCTGTGCTGTATATGTTAGACTGGTCTCTAATGTAGTCCACTATTTCATCTGGGAACAGATATTGGAACACTTGGAAAGGTGTATCCAGTCTCAAAATGTCATCCGACAAGTTTGTACTGCCACGGAAATTAATTTGCTCGGAATTTAAATTAAGAGCTTTTGTCTTCCATTTCACATTCAGCTGCAAAAAATAGAACCTAAATTCGTAAAAAATTAAGTACTAATTTCTGTAGCTACTATTTACTTTCTCAAGTTTACATTTCTTGGTACCGCCAGGGATATCATTACCATTACCGCCAAATTCTTCTTCAACTGACAACGGAAGTTCACTTATTTCTGGCGGAATAACATCGTCCTCATCTGAAAAATCCATTCCATCCTCACTTTTGCAACCCAAATCCTCTAAAATTCGTTCTATTTCAACGTCTGTAAGGGACGCCATTTTCAATTGTTAATCGATGTGATAAGCGCGACGGTGCAGTTCTGCAACAAAACAAAATTTAACGCTACATACATCACACCACAAATTACGCACATAAACAGTTCGTTTTTCAGCCAAATAATGTCTTACCTTGCACAAATTATTATTGCTTATGGCCAATCTTGTCACTTTTTTAACTACTAAATTGCAAAACCGTATGTTTGCCAGGAGCTTTTCTCACAACAAAAATTCACCTTTCAATAAGAACTGAGAGCAAAAATCTGACTGGTTTTGATAAGTACTGTTAGAAATGAGCTGCTCGCTTTGTTACTGATATGAAACAATGCGCTTGGCGTCAATATTTAATTTGGTACTATTTTAGCGGGAGAATCTTGAGTATGTTGCAGATCTGCAACACGGCGCCGTTAAGGGTTAAAAGGAAATGAGTTATATGGTAATCAGAGCGAGAGTGATGATGTGTGTGTATATTTGCATTAAGGGTAATCGGAATGAGTGGAACTAACTACCTCGAGTGTATGAGTCCTATCGTGAGCGTCTATTGTTGCAAGTGTTTTTTGGTTGTTTGGTTTTATGTAGGTACATACATATATACATTTATGATTTCGAAATCAGTTTTGGTTTGTATGGATGTTTAATACCTGTACATACACATTTATATGCGAGATTTTTTTTTTAGTGTAATATAATTATAAATAATTATGTAACAAAATTTGGAACTTAAAAACCATGTCTGATTTAAATTGAAGCCGATTAAATATTGTTCATTTAAGCAATTGCGCTATTGTAATTACTAAGATCGCTTTATGTGTTTGCAGGGTATATAGCTTGAGTGTAATATAAAGATTGAGTGGGACATATGTACGTATATAAATATGTATGTATGAGTATATTTATACATGTACCTGTATTCACGGGAGATTTAAGCTAATTTACATATAATGCACTTGTAATGTATGTATGTACATATGTATGTATTTATGTACTCCTTTGTTATAGCGAATTTTGTAGCGGCTGATTTGGTTTGCTTTTTCTGTATATTAATATAAAAAATAAGCACAGATATTTTTTTTTTAATGTGCAAATTTCCGCTAATTTTATGGCATATATGTAGGTTTATTACCAAATTTCGCGAAAATTCGCCAATACAGTTCTTTTTCTTTCGTTTACGGTGCTACATATATGCATATGTACATACATACATATGTATATGGAATTAACTGAATCCTATTTATATGCAAAAAGGGCGGGAAAATTTTTGCGAAAGGTTTCTACAAAGTTCGCTGTAACTTGGTAGAAAACTTGGAACGCTACTTACTGTGCCATTTTCTTTACAATTACAAAATATTTTATTTTCCACGTTAGTGTTTGGGCAGAGTCTTTTCCTTGGGAATGTGTTTGTTCTAAGCTGGCTGCAAAGTTCCTGAAGCTCCACTTCCACGTACTCCGGGGTTCACGTCTTCTCTCTTCTAGTCCGCTTTTTTTTAGTTTTGAGTTTTCGATTCTTTGGTTTTAGAATATTTTAATAAACTTTGTTTTTACTTATTTTCACAGTTTTAGTCTGTAATATTTGTTCAACTTTTAACAATACTTTAGTTTTTGAGTTAAAGCGTTTTCCGTAAAGTGGCAGTTTTCAGTTTATCACATGAACATGTGTTTTTCACTTCGTTTTTTAGATTTTATAAATGCACAAGTGTATCTTTTAACAATTTAAAAGTCTTTCTTTCACACCATTTTTTGTTTTTTTTTTCGTTCGATTGTCTTGATTTTAGTACGTAATTTCACGAAAGAAGCGCATTTTTATTTAGTTTTTTGCGACCGGCTCGTTAGGTAAATCTGTTTTATGTGCTTATTGAGTACGATAACATCGCTTTGATTTTTATGCCGATTCTTTTTTATTACTTGACGGCGTAAGGACCATGTTTATTATAGCGTCGCTATATTAAAGGGAGATTTAAGTCGGAACGAAGACAAAAGAGTCGGATTGGTTTTAGATAAAATATTTCATGAATTCAAAATGCAGAGGTACAAGTGTACGAAATATTATAAGTAAATCGAGTTGATTATAGAAGTGTAGTTGACTCAAAGGCACGTCTGTGCTGTAAGACGGTCGCGCTTATATATTATTGCAGTTTTTTACATTTCAATTTCAGTTCACAATTCAATAGTTAATTCAGCGAGTTTATACAAGAACAACTTTTTTTGGAGGATTTTTGTTTAGAGGAATCTTAGAAACTAGTCGAATAAAATGAGGTTGCCAACTCGCTCTCCTTCATGGTCGACAGGTGGTCTAAAGAACTTCGCAAATCGAATAAAACACGTCTGGCTTCTTCCTAAGTTCGCAAGATTGTGTCGTTTTATTTCTTAGATGGAGTACGCTTCGATATCTTTGATATCTTTTTATTAAACGATAACATTGCTTAAGGTCTAGACAGAATACAATCTATCGCTTATGGGCTAGTTACACTACTTTATCAATGCTTATCCTGCGTTTACACTTGCGAGCTACTTTCACATAGCCTACTTGCTTAAATTTACGTTTACATTACTTTTACCTGCCCTTATATTGCTAGTAACTACGCTTACACTTTGAACTTTTTTAATTTTGTTTTCCTTTCTATTGAATTCGTCAAAACAATTCAAAATATCAACTCGAACAAGGGAATTGATGTTCTTTTTTTTGATGCTGGTACATAAGTATGTAGTTAGGAGTATGCATTACTTAGGTATGGAGGGTTTGTAGTTTAAGCCCCCAGGAATTCATTATTTAATTTTTAAAGCAGGTTTATAAATTATGTGTGGAGTTCTTGTAGTTTAAGCCCTTTAAATTCATTATTTAATTTTGGAGGCAGAGTTAATCTAGGAATCGAGATCAATTGTGAAATAAAATAATGAATTTTGGTTGAAAAAAAGAGGACTACAGAAATCATGAGGAGCTAATTTCATAAAAACTTGGTGTGGGTGTTGCGCTTGTGCGCAAGAGGGGGGTGGAAGTATGGACAGGGCGGCATGACTGGTTGACAAGGCGAGACGGAGTGACTTACATACGGACGATAGTCAAGTACGGGGCGTTGTAAATACAAGCGGAGCCTGGACAGCGCCCATGGTTTCACGTGTGCAAGACGTTGAAGAGGGTGGGTAGACTCTGCCCTTCTTTTTCTTCCTATCACTTGTTGTTTTAACTACCTCCTTTATCTCACCTAATTCGGCATGACAACAGTTTTGTTGTTAGTGTAGCGTAGGCATGGCGAGTGGAACAAACCCAACCCGGCCGATGAGCTATGCCAGGCACCGCAAGCATGCCGACTTGCAACTCGACCATGCAACAGCACTACAGCTACGTAATAACACATAGACTTATTTCAGAGTCAATACCTTAAATATCTTGCAATTGTAATTGCAATCAATAATTTTCTTTATTCTATTCAGTGGTTGATTGAACAGTGGTAATTTGACTTTGATCCGTGGTGTTTCCGAATTACTTCACTTGACGATGTTTTCAAATAACTCGACCCAGCGCCACCTTGCGTTTTGCTTAAAATAGCATTGCCCCTACCGTTACCAATATATGTATGTATATCGAATATGTGCCAAATCGGATCATAAATACGATTTATGGTAATAACTCGCCTGCGCTGCCACCTGGTTGCAAACCTAAACTATTCAAGGACAAACTCAGACGATTAAAAAAATTTCGTTAAAATCGTTCCGGTTGTTTAGGAGGAGGAGATATGCGGTATGAAAAATTCGATTTCTATGGGAGATGCCACGCTTACTTGATATATATTGAAATTATTATCAGCCTCTAACCATCCTTGGAAAGTCTGCAGTAGGTGTATCTCTTCTTCTTCTTTATTGGCGCCGTAACAGCCTAGGCGATTTTGCCGAGTTCAAAACAGCACGCCAGTCATTTCTCTTCTGTGCCAACTGACGCCAATTGTAAATGCTAAGTGAAGCAAAGTCCTTCTCCGTTTGATTCTTCCAACGCAGAGGAGGTCTTCCTCTTCCTCTGTTACCAGCATCGTGGCCCGCGTTGAATACTTTCAGAGCATAAGCGTTTCTGTCCATTCGAACGGCATGGCCAAGCCAGCGGAGCCGCTGAATTTTAATTCGCTCATACAGCTCATCGTTAAATCGTCTGCGGTATTCGCCATCGCCAACTCGCAAAGGTACGTAAATCTTTTGCAGAATCTTTCTCTCATAAACTCCAAGAGCCACTTCATCAGATGTTTTTATTATCCATGCCTCCGCGACATACACCAGCACAGGCATTATGAGTGGCTTATATAGTGTATGTATAGTAGGTGTTCAAAATTGCAAAAATGGGTACAGCCGCTCGCGAGATCAGATCTTATAAAAAGAAGGGACTTCTCTTTAATAATAAGTATAGATAAACTGCCAATACCCGCGCACTTGCCGGGGCCTTGAAACACCTTTCGAACCGTTAAAAATCATTCAATTCCTCTCTATGTACTATGTATATCTATAATACGAATATCGAATTTGAAGCAAATCGGACCATAAACAAGATATTTCCGAATACATCGGTCCCTGGTCTACCTATCAAAAAAAGAGACTCCTACTTATCCCACACGATCTTCAAATGTGGCACAACCCAAAGTTACACCTTACCTTAGGTTTTTTCAACAAATTAAAACGAAAATTTCTCCAGTTTTTGTTGAAAGGTAAATAAAAGTTCTGTTTACATTTTTAGAGCATGATTTCGAAAATGCTCCATTTTGAGTTGTGTCACTTTTGCAGATCGTGTGCGATATGTGCTATTCTAGGTGTTCAAGTGCCTTGTGCCCACTTGAAGGATGATCCCTGCGCATCCTTTAATCCCAAATGCATCCCTGCGCTTGCACCGAATAAAAGTGCTTGAATATTCCAGTGTTAGCTATAGACAGGCTGCAGTTGCTTCCAGTGTAACCTATAAAGGCACACTCCGCTTTGCCATCGACACCTACAGAAGACAGCAGGGATCGCTTTACCGAACCAGCAACTATAATACCCCATCATCAACAAAAAGTCCTCTACAACAGCGTTGGAGGTCGATAACTACCTACTTGTTTTCATCTAATATTATCTACGCGGGAGTTCAACCACAACGTGTAGTTTCACCTGCATTTGCATCAACTAAGTATCAACCATCCATCTATATGTGTTACTATTTCTACTATTATATACTCATTTCAATTTTACCAATCCCGTTGCGCGAATTTCCACCGAACTCTGCAACCCAAATCAATTGCTAAATTCCTACTATATTTCCTAATTAAAAATCATTCACATCATCATACAGTCCACTTAAAATATTAATGTTAAATCGTAATTAGTTATGTCAATTTGGAAATGAATTACAAGTTGGGGTAAAACCTTAAAGCTTTTTAATTGAAAATCTCAATCGCAATATCATAATATTTTAACATGGTCCTTGTGAGCCAAATTTGAAACAGTGGCAACGCAACCATTCCGACAATAGAAATTACGCTGCTCAACACTGAACGGCAGCTGTAATTTTCTCACATCTCTCTCATCTTCCCACAATTACCTTTCAACTTTACAGCGAATCGGCAGCAGCAAAAAACAGCGATCTAAATTTTCAATCGCTGCAACGTGGGAATTTAAAACACTATTTGTGCTAGTGAACTTTAAAATTGTGCTTAGCCTAAAAATCACGGCAAGTTTCATTTAAAACCAAGTGTTTGTTGCGCAGCTAAAAGTGTCTTGAAAAGGCCCAATTGCGAAAAGCCTTGCAATTTAGTTTCGGGAGGTACTTGCGGCACCGAGTTCCATACACTTTGGTGATTGAAGCCCTACGCGGGATCCGTTTTTTCTCACCATCTCGTACGTTGCGCCCAATGCGGAACCCGTTTCCATCGTACGCCTAGTTAACAGGCGCCCACCGTTGAACGGCTACAAAGCTAAAAGCGCCCACCTAGGGCCACATTTAAATATATACATATAAATATACCCGTCATAAAATTTTCCTACATATCAACGGAACACTTCGGTAAAATATTCACCGTTACCGAAAAACGTTCAAATATATATACGCAGTTATATATGTGCATACATAGTTCTACTCGCTACTTTGTATAAAATTTTCACTCGTTATTTTTCACTATAGCTTCCATACATACGTACATACGCATACATATATATGCACATGCGTATGTAAATATGCATGGATGCTCGTTTTCCATTCCTAGCTCTATTCCAACTTCAAAATATTTGCTATGCTGCCTGCGCCGGCGCCTGCAGCGATCATCGTTTCACTTTCGGTCCTGTGTTTTATGCATATGTACATAACTACATACATACATACATATATGTACCTAAATTCATATCA